AGTGTGTCCCTTGGAGCTCATGGCTGGGGCATAGATGAAGTCTGTTGGTGGGAAATCGGCATTTTAGGCCACAATGCACTTGACAATTGGTCAGGAAGGAGTGATTTTTGTGCGTAAACTAATTATATTTGATTTCCTGCTTCCTCTTTGTAAATCTATGATTCTATGTTTCGCTTGCATTATGTTTACTCTGTATTTCACTGCAGGTATATCAATTTGTCTATTTGTCTAGCAAGGTCAGCAAGGTATCGTTTTTTCTATCATTCGGGAGGCTACGGGGTGTCCAGGGCTGTAGATTTTGTTTGGTTCTGCTGCATGTCAACCGTGCACCATCTTCCATCATGATCCTGCGGAACGATGTAGCAACTGCTAAGGAACTATGGCTAGCTTACTCACTTACATCGATATCCCTTGTGATTTTTGGATGACTTCACCTGCCGACCTCACCTCAATGATGGTATGTAAGGCCATCCCAGAACTATATGTGTTGTTCATGTTTTTTCCATGGTGTTCCCACAGATTTCTGGCGTTTTTTCTGTTCCGAGGTTACAGCTTTCAACGCTACGTCCAGCTTTGGGGGTCGCCCAAATGCACCAACTCTTTACCCTTCGAGCAGCTTGGTTAAGGGAAATCCCCGGACTTTTGGTGGAGCTTTTAATGGGAAAAAATCATAGGAAAATATTGGAAAATCTCACCATAAAATGGAGGTTTCAATGGGATATCAACTATATATAAATGTCAGATTTTCCGGCAGGCCATGTTTGATTACCGGATTGGTTTAAAGTTTGCATAGGGTTTTGCCTCACAGGGTAGCCCAACAAAATCCCCTGATTAATTATTATTTGCCCATGAAATTGTCACGTATGATACGGTACACCGAAATCTCACATTTTCAGACATGCACTCATATGTTCATTTTGAAAAAAAGTGTGTGTATATATATATACAATTAATTATAATTATATATACATACATGTTTTATGATCCCAGCTGGCTCATGTTTCGTGTTTTGGGACGGGTGGGTCATGGTGGGTCAACCACCAATCAATATCCATCAGGGCACTAGGATAGTGGAATATGGTCTCTACAACGTTATACATGCGGAAGATCGTGAAGGGTGCAGCCATGTGCAGCCGTTTAAGATATTTTAAGATAGCATGTTCATGCAACTTATCACCAATTATTTTTGTTGCCCACCTCCCACTGGGTCCCTGCGGTGTTTTGACGGAGCCATTCGAAATGGGGTTACCGGTTTCATGCAACTGGAATTTCATGCTCAATCGGGCTACCGTGTACCAGTTAAATGGATGAACTAATTGAAACAAAATCCAACTTCTAGTCTGGTAGGGGCCATATGGGGCCATCATTTGCGCTGAACCTCAGGTACTCAGATTTGATGCTGAAGAGGTATCACCCCAACTTGGCAAAAGAGCCCTGCCACCCAGACATTGGAAGTTTGTGCTCCTCGGTCGTTCCAGGGGGACGTGTTGCTGCTTGCGTTGTTCCCCAAAATGCATGAAAATATAGGAACAGGGGCCATGGGGACAATGGAAAGTATACAGCTTTCAACTTGATTCTTAAGCTTTCTGCGGTTTGATGGTGCCTGTTTCATACATGTGGGCCTATGTCGGCAAATGAGAAGTGTGTCCGAGATCAGAGATCCTCAGTTCGCAGTTGCTTGAATTATTAGCTGCTGCACAGCATTGCACAACTCTGGGGGTGGATGCTATCTATGACTGTATAGTCTCAATATGTCTCAATGCATCAGCAAGGGGTTACCGGCAGGTGCGGTACAGAATTCATGTATAGCTTCCAACCACAACTGCAGGCGATTGGGGAGTGACAGAGCTGGGCAGCTCAGGTGAGCCTCACAAATTGCACCCACGCTATGCAGTCAATGAAGTGGACACCACCCCAGCAGCCGCAGCGGAAGTCCCAGGTGGGGTTTGGGGTTTGGGGTGACCAAGCAGTCAAGGGCTAAAACTAGGCTAAAACCATGTAAAACCAACATGTGAATCTTTTGGGATGGCAAACAAGCAGCGGAAAACGAAAGCATGAACACCCACATTGAAGTTGGTCGTTTTAGGGTGTTGATTCTCCCATAATTCCAAATTCACCAGAGACTTGTGCTACAGCTGCTACATGCTACGCGCTTGGCTCAGTCCTGCAGAGCCAAACCCTTTGAGGTCACCATTCTGAAGGTTTGCACTAATCCAAGAGTCATGAAGTCTTAAGAAGTTGGGCCCATTCCTCAAAACCATTTCTGATTGGTGGTTCGGAACATGAATTTTATGACTTTCCATATATTGGGAATAATCATCCCAACTGACTCATATTTTTCAGAGGGGTTGAAACCACCAACCAGATTTGCTAGTCAGGCGAACTAAGTCAATTACCTCATTTGAATGGTCGCTTGTCCATGGTTGTCCACGATCTTCTTTTGTGTCTCAAGGGTCCAAGATTGCCCAAGAATCTCCCAACAAAATGATTGGCCGCGACTGATTCGATTTACTTTGAATGGATCAGTGAAGAGCAGCCTTGACTCGACACTTGTTCCAGAAGACCTTGGGTCCTGCGTTGTCATTCAGGCAGCGGTCGAAAGCTCTACGGCTTCTATTTGCACGTTTTTCATTCGCCAGCTGCAGTGTTTTATCAGGTCAGGGGCAAGTCACTAGATGTCGTAGAAATGGAGTTTGCTTGGAGTTTGCATCAGTTCACCTGTTTTGCATTGTTTTGCCATGTTTTGCTATTGTGTAACTAATTAAGAAGTATTATGGACCTTGTTTTATCTTTGTTGTGTCTTATATTGTTTTGTATTGCCTGCGTGATTTTGGTGGCACTTCAGAAACGACATATGTGGAAGAATTAACCTGCAAGCAACATTCCGCATCGTCAAAGTTGCACTTGATATCCTTGCATGGTGTTCATGATAGGCTGCAAACGGTTGAATTCCATATAATTCCATGATCAGGTCCGTGGGATTGGGATGTTGGGCGTTTCGCAAACATCTGACGCATTGCTTTTCCCTGGGAGGTGCGGAAACTCAAAGAAGTTTTCCCCGGATCTCCGATCTACGTGATGAGCATCTTGCCAGGACATTCCAGGAAGGTGGGCCTCCCGCGATACTTTGCCAGCGCAGGGGCTCCCAAATTCCCAAAAAGTTACAGTTTCTCCAGGACATTCTAGATGAGTAAATGGCGTATATTTTTTTTTAGGTGTCCAACTCCTGGCTAGTGTGGGGTTGCGGTGGCGTTACTCAATGGTTGATGTCATGCATTATATCCAAACTAATCCCTTCCTCCTAATACTAAACGCCCCCCCTCTTACTAAACACGGCAGGTAGTTTTTAGTATTAGGGGTGTATTTATTATTAGGGAACCCTAATAAAATAAAATTAAACCCTTAATAATAAAAACTTTTTTTCCGATCTCAAAATCAATTATTTTTCTTTATATAACGCAATTAAACTATTGCCAAAAATTGGATTTTGAAGCTTCCCCCTAATATTAAAATATTGCCAAAAATTGGGCCGTTTGCATTTGCACTTGAAATATCATCCATATTTGCATAATGTTACATCGACAATAGTAAAGGGGGGTCCCCCCTCTATGTTTTTTTTTCCCCACCTGCCAGGTGAGGGTTGTTAGATTTTATGTCAGTTGCCTCCTCGTCCTCCTCCTCCTCCTCCGCCTCCTCCTGCCTCGTCCTCCTCTCCTCCTCCTCCTCGTCCTCCTCGTCGTCCTCGTCGTCCTCGTCGTCCTTGCTCAACTGCGACCCGCGATCCACAGTGTTCTCTGCCGGACCTCAACCACGACCATCCACGCCCAGTGTTCCCTGCCGGACCTCAACCACGACCATCCACGCCCAATGTTCCCTGCCGGACCTCAACCACGACCATCCTCGCCCAGTGTTCCCTGCCGGACCTCAACCACGACCATCCACGCCCAGTGTTCCCTGCCGGACCTCAACCGCGAGTATCCACGCCAAGTGTTCCCTGCCGGACCTCATGTAGGAAGATATGGGACAAAGAATGTGCAGAAGAAAGTTAGAAAGAATGTCAGAAAGAATGTCAGAAGATATGCCAGAAGATATGCCAGAAGATATGCCAGATAGAATGCCAGATAATATGCCAGAAGATATGCCAGATAGAATGCCAGATAGAATGCCAGAAGATTTGCCGGATAGAATGCCAGAAAATTATGCCAGAAGATATGCCAGATAGATATGTCAGAAGATATGCCAGAAGATATGCCAGAAGATATGCCAGAAGATATGTCAGAATATATGCCAGAAGATATGTCAGAATATATGCCAGAAGATATGTCAGATAGAATGCCAGAAGATATGTCAGAATATATGCCAGAAGATATGCCAGATAGAATGCCAGAAGATATGTCAGTTAGAGTGCCAGAAGATATGCCAGATAGAATGCCAGAAGATTTGCCAGATAGAATGCCAGAAGATATGCCAGAAGATATGCCAGATCATATGCCAGAAGATATGCCAGATAGAATGCCAAATAGATTGTCAGAAGATATGTCAGATAGAATGCCAGAAGATTTGCCAGTAAGAAAATGTATAAATGTCATGGTGGGGATCACACGAAGTAAAGTATTTTTTTTTTTAAGGGGGGGGTCTGCTTTGCAATAGTAAATCGAAAATCCCAACTCTTCCCCAAAGGCTTCTGTAAGGTTTTGACAAATCCTCTCTTTTCTGATGGGCTCTGATGGGATCTTCATTGGATTCTGATTGAGAACCTCTGTTTTCTGATAGGCTTTGGTGGGATTTTCATTGGATTCTGATTGAGAACCTTTGTTTTCTGATAGGCTTTGGTGGGATCTTCATTGGATTCTGATTGAGAACCTTTGTTTTCTGATAGGCTTTGGTGGGATCTTCATTGGATTCTGATTGAGAACCTCTGTTTTCTGATAGGCTCTGATGGGATTCTCATTGGATTTTCTGCACCTGGGATGGATTCTGATGAATGGCCTGATGCTTCTGTAGCTGTGATAGTCTGATCTGCTCTGTGATAGTCTGGCCATGCCATTGCTGCCTGAGCTGTGGGACACAGCCCTTGGTTGCATCCTGGATCTGGTCACTCTGGGCTGCCAGATTCTGTCTACATCTGGCTGCTGCTTCTGACATTTGGTGGACATGTGCTGGTGGGCTATGGCTTGGTGACTCTGGGAGATTTTCTGCAGCTGGCACTGCTGTGTGTGGTGATCACTCTGCTGAGTGGCATTCTGCAGGAGCTGAAGTGGCATGGTGATTATCTGAGAGCTCATGGTGTAAAGCTGGACATTCTGATCGAACCCAGCATTACTGCTGGCTAGTTCTGATTTTCTTGGAGCTGAAAAGTCTGCTTTTCCCAGTGTAGTTGCATGCTGTTTTATCTGAGAGTTGAGAGTCTAATGGAAGTCTGTGAGAGCCTGATTGCCTTCTGATTGCATTAGGTTCTGATGGTTTCTGATAAGGGTTTCATTGGCTTCTGATGCATTCTGTGCAGCCTCTGCATGTATATATACTAGATATATATACTATATATACTATATATACTAGATATACTAGATATACTATATATACTATATATACTATATATACTATATGTACTATATATATATACTATATATACTATATATATACTATTAAATTTCACGAGCTCCTGACATTTTGTGCTTTTTAGGAAATATTGGATATCAATGGATATCAAGGTCAAGATGCAATATTTGGTGCAGTGTACGCGCACAAGGGTGGCACCAAAAAACTTAAGCGTCATGGTTCGCACGGGTTTTGCACTGGATCAGCCTTCCATAAATGGAATTGGTCCAATTAATCCTTCAGAAAAAATGAAACGGTCGGAAACGGTCGGAAACGGTCGGAAACAGTCGGAAACGGTCGGAAACATGATCAGGCCAACACTTGTTCAACCCGCATATTTTTAAAAATAAGCATTTCCGCGCAACGCCGTTTTTTTTTTTGAAGGTCCAAAGGTGTCCAAGGGGAAACGGTTGGAAACAGTTGGAGATCGCACCTTCGCTCGGCAAAAAAATAGTTGTTTTGTAGCATATGTTCATGAAAAATGTTTGAAAATTGTGTAAAAACTTGTCTTTTTTGCCGAGCGAAGGTGCAATCTCCGACTGTTTCCAACCGTTTCCCCTTGGACACCTTTGGACCTTGTAAAAAAAAAGGGGTTTGCGGGAAATGCTTATTTTGAAAAATATGCAGGTTGAACAAGTTTTGGCCTGATCATGTTTCCGACCGTTTCCGACCGTTTCCGACTGTTTCCGACCGTTTCCGACCGTTTCATTTTTTCTGAAGGATTAATTGGACCAATTCCATTTATGGAAGGCTGATCCAGTGCAAAACCCGTGCGAACCATGACGCTTAAGTTTTTTGGTGCCACCCTTGTGAGCGTACACTGCACCAAGTATTGCATCTTGACCTTGATATCCATTGATATCCAATATTCCGTAAAAATCACAAAATCCCAGGAGCTCGTGAAATTTAATAATATATACTATATATACTATATATACTATATATACTATATATACTATATATACTATATATACTTACTATACTTACTATATATACTATATATACTATATATATACTATATATACTATATATACTATATATACTATATACTATATATACTATATATACTATATATACTATATATATACTATATATATACTATATATACTATATATACTATATATACTATATACTATATATACTATATATACTATATATACTATATATACTATATATATACTATATATATATACTATATATACTATATATACTATATGTACTATATATACTATATATATATATATTTTTCTGATGATGTTCATTGGATTCTGCTGGTTTTTCTGAAGCTGTCCATTGGATTCTACATGGTCTTCTGCAAGTGTCTCATTGGAATCTAGATGGTTTTTCTGCAAGTTTTTCTGATGATCTTCATTTGATTCTGTTGTGAATTTGCAGCATTCTGGCCTAGATCTCTGGCATTCCTTTGTCTCTGTCTCACTCGCTTTCTGGTCTTCTGATCATGTCGATGTCTCTACCCATGGATATCTCTGCTGAGACTGGTGCTGGCCCTGGCCCTCTGGATCATCTGAATGATCCTGACAAGAGGAACAGGGTGGCCACCAGGTCTCTGTACAATCCGCAGCAGGAGATCTCTGCCTACAGGGCTGCCAAAGATGGCAGAGGCTATGTGCACAGCTCTGGCCAGTGCACATATGCTGTTCTGAAAGGCAGGGTGCGCTGGGAGTTACTTGTTTTCTGTTTGATTTTTTCTATTTTTGTATGTGTTTGTGGTTTACTTTTGTTTTTTCTTCTTTGCTGGGTATTTTTTTAAAATTCTTGAACCTGCTTAGGATGGAGCAGTATTTGGGCAGTGGTGGACCTCCTTGCCTCTGGAAATGGATCTGCCTAATGGCCTGGCTGTCCTGTGCCTGTGATCTGCTGTACCAGTCCATCGATGCTGGCATGAGTTCTCTGAATGTGGCTGCTGTGCACAGAAATCTGGTGCTGGTTTGCAACGAGTTTCTTGGCTGGCTTTTAAGATTTTTAAGCATTATATTTAGTATATAGTATATATATATATTGTATATATATATATACATACAATTATTTAGTATATTTATAGTAATTAATATATTTACCATATATATATATAATAATTATATTTAATATTTATAGCATATATATATATGTTTATTCTGTTTACTGTTCTGGTTGGGAGCTTCATGCTTCTGAGGATTCCTTGCTTCTGCGCTTCTGAGATCACTGTGTCTCCTGCTGATTGCACTCTGCCTGAAGGCTTTGAACTCTGGGCTCTCTGGGTCAAAAGCTGTGACTTGATCAGCTGATTGCATGTTTTTTTTTGTTTTTTTTCTAGTCTATTCTTTTTGTTTGCCATTTGTTTTGGTTTGTTTTTGTAATCTCTAATGCCCTTATTCCAGGCTTCGCTGAGACTCAGCAGCAATTTGTCTATGTTCTGGAGCTCGCTGAAGCTAATGGCAAAAATTCTGATCAGCTGATTTCCCAGGCCTGGGACTATTCATTGGCTGCGGCTCAGGCCATCAACTTGGAGCCAGAGCCGGCAGAGGCCGAGGCTGAGGCCACCATGGCCGAAGCCAGAATGACTCAAAACTATCAAAACATTCAGTTTGGCGAGACAGCGCCCTCTCCAGAGACCAATCTCCTGGAGGACGGAATTGTCAAATTTTGTACAAAAGACTTCTGGGAAATGTCACCATAATTTCCAACGCGCATTCGGTGTCTTCATTTTGAAGGACCCCCTTCATTTACCAACAAAACCGGCAGAGGCGGGGACTTCAACCGGAATTCACCGCATTTCTGCCGATTAGAATCTGCATCGACTCTTTCTGGGTAGATCCACATTCGCAAACAGAATGACAACCGTGGAATTCCCGTTCTCTGAACTTGCTCGGTGTGTCACTAGCTTCACGAACTTGGCGTTTATTTCTTGATGTCAAATTGGTTCTGGGTTCAAATTGTTTCAATAATATTCGATGCATGATCTGTCTTAAGAACCTTAGAGCAGGATGGCTGGAGGCTTCCACCATCTGGGCGTTGTCTTGGCACACTGTTGCTCTATGGTTTGCGCACGGTTTCCGGGACATTTTGTACAAAGATGTCCCACGACGACGTGGGATAGGATGGTGGATGAAGAGTCTCAGGTTGGACAAACATGTTCACTGGCAGGACTCTTTGCCCTCAAAGAAGGGCAGTTCAGATTCGACGTTTGGCTCGTCAAGGACACCCAGGTTTGGTTTTGGACTTGGACATTCGACGCTTCTTGATTTTTGGCGTCGAATTTGATTTGAATTCTTATGTCAGGCTGGAGGACGAATTCCACGCCGAGGCCTGCTGAACCAAGTTCGGCGTCGGGAGAAAGAACCCAGATTTGATGTCGTAAGCATTGTCCTCAAATCTTTTACAGCAATTTGGCATTTCTCAGCGGCGCGGCGACCGGGAGGTTACAGTAGTAGTTTGAAATCCGTGTGGCAATGTCAAGCATACCAAGGTTTTGTTCTGTTTTAATGTGGGGGCAGAACTTTTGTTTTGAAAACTAGCTGAATGAGAGAATTACACTTAACACTTTGTTACTGGCAGAGAGAATTTGGTGGGTGTTGGGATATGTTGGAATGGGTTGCGTTGGGCAAAATTTTGGCAGCATGCTGGACGAATCAAATTGCGCAAGGCAATCAAAACATTTTGGGCCAAAATGACAATGTTTTTCCCAAGCACTGTTTTCCATTCAGTTCAATTTGGTGGCCAGTTTGCGCTGCGTATGCGCTGCATACTAGCCGTATACCACAATTTGGGCTATGTTGCTTTGAATTTCAAATGTGCATATCAATGTGATGGTTTGCAGGCATTGGGCTACGTGGCGCAAGAAACCGCCCGATTGGATCAATCCAAGCATCTAGCCACTTGGTCTTGGTTTGGTGCCATCCACCTTGCTGGGGTCCATTTTCCTGTTCCTGGAGCTACGGAGTACCAACAAAGTGTCTGGACATCAGAGACTGCCAGGGCTTGGAAACTCGCCGGCGCATCTTCAAGGCTGTTCCTGGTATGAAACGCAGAAAGTTTCAGACATGCACATTGTTTCTTTCGGAGCCCGTGTAGCACCTCGTGACAGGATCTGGTGCTTACATGGCATCCAGACAAGCAACAGGGCCCAGAAGGGCGTTTTGCAGCAGAGGTTGGGGTCAGCATGTGCCAGCCTGTTTTTTTTTTCAGTCCATGCATTGTTTCAGGTATTTCGTCAATTGATGGCGCGGAAAACCGAATTCTTGCAGGCAGTTTGGGCTGCCATTGGTTCAAACATTTTGCTGTTTTGGTTCGCAGCAGGTGGCAGATCTGACACAGTTCAAGAAACAAAAAGATGCCATCCAGCCGAGTACCGAACATGCAGCAACCGATGAAACAAGATGCATCTTTGTCCTTTGGTTCAACAGTTCGCATTGTCATGATTCAACTTGCGTGGCGCTTGTAAGGATGATGGTGCGACGGTATGCAACGATATAATCCTTGTGTTCGGATATATAGGATCATGTGGAAATGTAGATTGGCCGGTGGTTCCACAGTGAGTGTTTTCCATCCCAGAACTCCAATGTTTTTCAACGTTCAGTTCCTCCTGAACATATACATATATATATATATATTTTACATTATATATATATATATGTATACATGAGTACACACACATACACATGTTTCTAGATGCGCTCCAAATCGGCAGGAATTTGAGGTGAACAAGAAAGCGGACAAGGTGCAGCAACGTCAGCAGGTTGAGAAACTGGACAAGCCCCATGTCGCTTGGTAACCACGAAATCCAGTGCGGTAAACATGGATACACTGTTTGCGAACGAGTGCTATCCGATTTTAACCATTGGTCCACAATATATTTCCGGGTTTGGGGGCTTTGTAATCCCATGGTTTAGGGATCACAAATTGAACAGGACCCCAAGAGGACTTGAAAGACTTTTCCTGAACATGTTCTTCCCTGGGTGAGTCGCATGGAATACCAGGGGGCAAGCGGAGTAATGGAAAATAACAATTTCGAGCAGGCAGAAGAATACATCATGGTGGATTTTGTATATCATTTGCCAAAAACTTTACAAATCGTTCCCGAGATTAAGCATGTCATCATGTTGCAAAAAGTTACAAGGTTACAGCATAGATATTTTGAAAAAGACATGAAATTATTTTTATTGGACACAAAATTTCAAAACTATGGCAATTATGCTGCGCGTTCATGTGCGCTTGCGCACAAACATGGACCTGGAAATTGCATTGTCACGGAACACACTCCCCTTTGTCATCCCCTAATGTTGCCTGGCCCGTGAGGAACGCAAATTCTGCAAGATCAATTTCGTAGCAGAGCTTGACGCAGAAGTGTTGGTTACTCAGTCCCTGTCAGGATACAAAAACATTGACATGAAGTGTGTACCTTCCTGTGAGTTACAAAGCAGTTTGTGTCAGGGAATGACGCTTGGGACTCCGCTGGGACTCCAAAAGAAGGCGGAATTTTGAGTCCAACATGTGGTCAAGGATGGTGAAGGTTTAGTTGTTGAACAGAATCAAGCGCCAGGACCTACCAGCCGCTGGCCTGAGCCAACTTTCCTCATGCTCAGGTTCTGGAAACAAATCTGCAGATTGCTGCTTTTGATGCTGACCTTCTTCAATCTTGAACACTCAGAAGCGCAGAAGTATGCAGAAGTGTGTTTTTCTTGGACCCCGATCTGCACTTGATACACTATGCAATTGGTGTGCATTGTTGGAGAATATGCGGTGAAAGTGTTTGGAAAGCAGCCGTTTGGGTTCCAGTTTGTTCCACTGCGTGCTTTCTGATGACGAGATCGTTGGATGACGGGGAGAAAGAGGCCAGACTCGTTTGGAACTTGTGCGGTAGGAGGTTGGAAACTTAAATGCTTGTACCATCCTATGCCTCCTTCACGGTTCCCGTTTAGGTTCTACAGAAGCGAAAGCAGCATGTGGAAGGAGAGGGTGGGCAAGTGTAGACGTAATTATATGTAAAATCCCACATGGGCGCACGTTTTTTTTGCCATGAAAGGGTTTGTACAAAAAGGACAGCTCCATGTTGGCCTGCGTAGGCGCAAGTATTGCTATTTACACGCTGCGTAGGCTTGCGTTGGCGTTTCGCGTAGCCCTAGGAGCTTATCGCGCAGGCAACTCATGAATTTGAACCGCGTTTTCATCAAATCACATGTCCAGCGGTTCCATCAAATATAATCACCAACTGGTGTTATCCAAGTTCGTTGCTTTTTACCCACTTGCAACGCTGTTTGACTAAGCGCTTTAACAAACACATGACGAAGAAAGGTAGTTTACACTTACTCCTGAAAATTAGCCGCGCGTGCCATGGATACGTATATGAAATTCCAACCTTAAACTTGCGCAAACACACATTTGAAACATCTTAACGCATGATTTTGCACCGCGATTTGATCAAATGGATTTTAATACAATGTTTCAGCAGTTCCATCAATTACAATTGCCAAGGTTTTTGACCAGGTTCCCGGTTTGACTAAGACTAAGACTCGTTTTACGATCTTTTCTTCCGATGGCTAGGATTTTGTCAGATTGAGTGCCTTTGAAGCAAACGGACCCGAGTTCGATATAGTTCAGATTTTCACCAAAGCGTGAGTGAATTTACAACTACGACATATTACCACCAAATCTCGGCTATGGGTCGACCAAAGTTCCCTTTGTGGCTTTAACAGACTTATGACTGTATGGGTATATCAGCCAAGTGGGCTCTGGGCTGCTTGACTTGAGAGATTGAGTCGACTGACTTGAAGTATCTTGAAGTGCCTGGCTGTTTGGGTGTCTAAGTGGTGGCCCACCTGTGACTCTAGTTGCAGATTTTGAAGGATAAAAGAAGGCGTTCTTGATCGATTGTGCTGCCTTTGGTAACGCAACGGGTCCCAGAACATGGAGACGGACAGGCATGATCAGACGTGCCATTGGCTACGCGTTGTGTATCACGAGGCGTCGTGCATCATGCAATGATATGCAGTGATCATGTCAGGCGATCCTAGAGGAAGAGAACAAGGACCTTCGACAGGACTCGTTGTTGACCAAGTTTCATCAGTTGCGCCAAGAATTTTGACGTGCGCTCAGTCATCTGCAGATTATTTTCCAATTTGTTGACAAGGGCGCTTGTTGTAGCGGCGTGAGCATTGTCAAACACTCTGGTTGTTGGCGTGTGCGTGGATGACGCTGGATCACACGACCAAATCCAGCACTGTTGCTTTGACGGTCCTGGAGGTCCATGGGAATGCTGGATGACGGTCCATGGGAACATACTTGGCATGCTGTGAGGATGCTCTGGTGGAAACTGCAGATGGGCCAATCCACTTTGCGCCTCCTCCGTGATGGCGTCCGTGGGCGCAGGGAGGGCCATGAAATCAGGTGTCCTGGCTAGGTGACATAAATTAGGACAGGCGTTAGCCTCTTTATCTGTTGGAAGCTAGAGCTATTCCTGAAATATCTAGAGTTATTCCCTAAATATCTTGGGCTATCTATTTATGATATATAATCAGTTATTTATAAATATGATATATCTAGAACTACTTTTAAGATAAAATAACTATGTCTCAAAGATCCCTTTTTTTCTCCAAAATATCAACACCTATTTCCAAAATACACGCACAGAGCTGTGTTTAAGATACGCAGATTTGTTTTAGGAATATGCGAAACTATGTTCACAATATCCAAAGCTGTTCTAAACGACCAACTACCCAAAGTTATTCAAATTTCAAAATCGTACAAACGCATGTCATGACAGGGTTTGGGGCATGCTTACTGAAATGCAGAACATATGTGACATTAAATTCAAACAGGTACACAGAATAAACCAAATGTCAATTAGCAATACATGTCCTACTCTCTGTAAATAGTTTGAAAGCAGGACTTTGAATTCCAGGATCGGCAGCTAGCAATCAATTTGAATGAAGTATGTATCAATGAAGTATGAATGAAGGTTTAGAGCGGCTTAATTCTTTTACTAAGCTATCCCCACCATCCACCCCCTGAAAAACCTAAATGGTTCAGAGTGGTTTAGAGCGGTTTCTAGATCTTTGTGGTGCAGAGTCTCTTATGAAAAAGGAACTAAGCGGTTTGGCTCAGAGCTATTTCTAAACATGTTGTTTGAATTGGCTCTAGACGGCTTAGAGCGGTTTAGAGCTATTTCCAAGACGCACCATTTTAAATAACCAAAGTCTAAATAAATCCCCAGCATTTAACAAAGATAAACGCTGGTGAAGTTCAGTAGGCTTCATGTTAGGGTACACAGGTCATTAAAGCTTGTGGCACCCCAGGCTACGTTTAAAGTTTGTTTGTGCGTCCGCCAGCTTCTTGATGTGGCCTGAGCGCTCGCCATGTAAGCAAGGTGGTGAGGTGGCATTGCCCCAAACGAGTGGGCCCTGAAATGAAAAAGCTTCTCACGACTTGAAATAGTCCCATGTTTTTGAAAATACCAGTCTGATAGTCTCGGGAAGTTGAAAGTCTTGTTAATCTTAGAAATAGCTCTAGAAAATTTTGAAATAGCTCTGGAGATTTGAGAAACATTTAAAAGGACACTTTCTGCCAGATTGGTTTCTGCGGCTGCGGGAAGGGACGGAAAAGCCCTTTAGGGATTGCGGGAAACCCTGGAAAAGCCCGTTGCTGGTTGCGAGAGGTCCCGGAAAAGCACGCTAGGGGTTGAGTCGGGCCCTGGAAAATTCCATTAGGGCTCACGGGGCCGGATAACGCTACCTCACCTATCAGCATTGGCCACATGGTCATTCCAACCCATAGTCATAGTCACAGCGGTTGATGAAGAAAATCGTATAGTTCTGCCAAAAATTCAGTATCAGCCTAGTACCAAGATCAAATAAGTAGAACCAATGGCATCCCAGAAGTCAACCCGTGAATCGATGAATCTTCAGCAGCAGTGATGTCATGTGTCATGCATGGACCTGACCACATGGCATCACATGTGACAAACTTGAACCGCTAAATCTGACATGACTGACGGACCAGCAAACTTACCTGACACCATTTAGAACGTCTCAGATAGGGTGGCCTTTTGATGTGGTCTTGATTTGATAAGCGATGATATTATGTGAAACAGCCACTTGGTGACATTACGCGCGCAAGTATCGGAGCATAACATATGATTTTTGCTTGTTGACCAAGTGGTCTGAAACGGTTTTATCTTGTTGATATGACCTGACTTCAAGCCACTCATGGGCTTAGGATCGCTTGCAGCGCTCGCCTACATGATGAATAATCCATGCAAAACCTTGGTGTCAATTTTAGCTGAAGCATGTCATCATTTCTTTTCGAGTCTGTCGGAACCACAGGGCGGAGGTATGATGGAGATAAAGAAGAAGTGGGATGGAGGTAACAGTCAGGGTGATAACATAACTCGATGGCGTTTGTTCCACTGGCAGCAAATGATGTGTTTCTTAAGCTTGAATGATTCAAATTCGCTACATATGTTTGTTCGCTTGAAAGTGTATGACCTGGTGGGGTATTGTCCATTGGCTAACCAAAAGAATAAGAACGGTTAAAGACCAGTTGTTTGGAAAGGCATCATGCACAATCTTTGGAAACTCGTAACACAGGTTCCATGCTGAAAAAAGGAGGCAGGAACGGCAAGAGCATTTGCATCACGACATTCACAGACAACAATTCCTAAGTAATGATTAAAAGCACTGATCACTAGTTATCAGTAATCAGCCAAGAGCCAATAGCCTGGTTCGTTCCATTAGCCTGTTGCCAATGACCCTCGCTTGTTACCAATTAGAGCCTTCTGTCCAAGGGCCAATTATACTCCTGCTTTTTGTTCTGCCAGTCTTAAAAATTTTCCTGGGGATGTCTCAAATATCCTTGGATTTTGATTGGAAATAGCTCAGCCATTTTGACAGAAGTAGAAAATAAAGAGACTAGCATGGAAATTCCGTCCATTGTCGCAACGCGCGAGGTGTTCCCAGATGATGACGACGAGTATCTTGATGCCGCAGAGGCAGAAATTGCTTTGCAAAATAATAAAAATTATTTTTCCGATCTCAAAATCAATTAAACTTCTTTATATAACGCGATTAAAATATTGCCAAAAATTGGATTCCGAAGCTTCCCCCTAATATTAAATTAAAACCATCAATAATAAAAACTATTTTTTCCGATCTCAAAATCAATTAAATTTCTTGTTTGTTATAACGCAATTAAAATATTGCCAAAAATTGGATTTCGAAGCTTCCCCCTAATATTAAATTAAAGCCCTTAATAATAAATACTATTTTTTCCGATCTCAAAATCAATTAATTTTCTTTATATAACGCAATTAAAATAATTATTGCCAAAAATTGGATTTCGAAGCTTCCCCCTAATACTAAATTAAAAACCTTAATGTAAAAAAACAAAAAACCGAACGGACCCTAATAATAAACACCCCGGGGTGGACTAGTTTTTAGTATTAGGGGGGAAACCCACAAATGGTAGCTAAAGGGGATCAATTAAAAGTCAAATTGGCCAATCTGAAATTTTCAAAATTGGAGATGGACACTAGTTTTTAGTATTTGGGCGGGTTTAGTAATAGGAGGAAGGGATTAGGTGGAGCTTGCTGGCTCATCCGGGACAATTAGCTTCCACGGAGGAGCTTCAAAGAACGTTTCCGGAGAGCTTGTGACAATTGCATGCACTTGCCATTGTTGGCTTAGGGGTCCTCAAACGACTTAATTTTTGATAGCTCCAACTCCAACCCATGCTCCAACATATTGCAGGTACATGATAGCCACTTTTTGGTGGCAGATCGGTTGTTTGACCTCTTTATGTGCCCGATTTGCCCCTCTTTGTACCTGGGAGTTTTGGGAGTTTGGGAGCAAGTCTGCATAAGGTGATGGCGGCGCTGACTTCAGTCCCTTCTGCGAACAAGAAGGCAGGGTGTGTTCGGTTGGCTGGGCGTCCTGGGATGATCAATCGAACTCCGGCGCAGGTTGTACCTTCAAAATGTGTCCACCGGCGAACGATCGCTGGCATCCATGGCCCTTCTTTCGGAGGTGAAAACGTGGGCGACGTTGGATCTGAGATCTATTGATTCATTTGGGGATGTCACAAAGATCATCAAAAGATCCATATTAAGCTGCAAAGGGATAGGAAAACATATGGGAGAGGTTGAGGAAACCTATGATTAATTTTGGTTCAAAAAAGGAATATGAGCAGCAACCAGCGGGATATGTTGGTAAAACCACTGGTACTGGCCAGTCTATGCAGTGCTAACCAGTATTTGAATTTGTTTAAATCTCATACTGATACGGCCAAGATGTCGTCCAGATTGAGGATCAGCCAGCACTAAGTCACTAAGTCACTAAGCATGTTGGGTAAAAATCCTGCTCGCTGTCAGGCTCTATGTTGCCGCAGTCAGTCTCAATACCGAATTTGTGATCATGCTCCTTGGAGATGACGTATGATGACGTCGTATTTGTCGGCATGCTGACTTTTTAAATGCCCTCACTGATTGAGGGAAGGTGGTACCACGGTGGTACTCATCCAATTCAAGCTGGCAATGGGAGATTGCTGATTCCCAGCACATTTGTCCATGGTAGAGTACGCTTTGCTATGGAAAAATCATCCATTTAATTACCATGATTTACCCAGTTACTCTCATCATTGCAGCCGATTTATGCTAATTTGTCCATGCTTAGATATGGTTAGACACTCCGAGCCTGTCATGTTGATGCCCAGGTTGGAGCCAGACAACACGCTGCTGGGTGGCAAGGTTTATTCTGCTTTCGCAACGATGGTGGTTGTTGAGGAGATAGATGAATTTTAAAATACTATGCGGTAATTAAACATGGCAATGGGAAATGGCCGAGTTTCAGATGATTGTCGAATTCGAATGCAAATTTATATGGGATTTTTCCAATGACCATATTTGATTACCCAAGGGTATAGATATTTCTCTGAATGGGGGGATTCCCAAAACCATAGGGTTCGATAATTTCAGGATTTGGGATGCTTGGACACCCACAACTTTGAGAGCATTATTACTGTAGCCATAAGTGGAGAAATGCTTAACACCCAGCTTGTGAGTTTATTGGTGGGAGAGTAAGACTTAAAGATATATCTCAGAAATTGTCATGATATGTCATGATCAAGAAACTTTGAAATACGATTTTTTTGCAGGGAAAAGATGATTGTCATCCCTGCGTACTTGCTTACAGGGCTCCTGTCAGCTACCCGGTCAAAGCCTGCATGTACCTATATGTATAGCTATTGCTTTGAGATGGCAATATGAGTCATATGAGATTAGTCTTACCATTTCTTACCCCACCATATCCCAACATCTCCAAAGATCCTTTGGGTGTTTTGAGTCCCCCATAGTCCGCGACGTAGGGGGCCTGGTTGCCCCAGGATCCATGGCCCCATCAAACATCGCCCGAAGTACGATGCGGGTGGCCTCCTGGTACGTGATCGGAGCTTTGCCGGAGCAGACTACGCCCCTCGGCGAGTTCTGACGGAAGGAAGGTGGTGTCCCAGTTTGATAGCTCATAACTTGGTATGACATTGATTTACAACATGTTATAACTATGTTATAACAAACTTGACATATCTCAGAATAGGGTTTCTGTATGTTTGTGGTGACTCATTAGTTATCACTGGTTCTATTAGAAGAGTTTATAAATCAACTTAAACTCAGGGATGCCACCTGCACTCAAGGTGGAAAAACTTGCCAGGAAGAGAGTCCCAGACTACAGGCGGAAAGTGGCGGAACGATGGGCGGATCGAGTGGGTCAACGGGTCAACGGAGGTGAAATGATTGAAATGCCATGATGTGGTTTTATCCATCAAAAATGGTGATTTACCCATTGAAATGGTGATTTTCCATCGTTTTTTGTGTGAAAAAAACTATGTTAACTAGAGGCTATGCCATGACATTGACGTTTGAATCGGTTGAATCGGTTGAATACTGAAAAGCATAACGTTGGTAAAATATCCATAGCTTCTATATGCCAGAGAATGTCTCCACAAGATGCTTGGTTTAATAAAGTTTAAGAATCCAATATCTTGACTCAAACTGTATCCTGTAATTACTGGGGTATATCATGGTATAATTGTTGGGGTATTAAAACCATTGGGAACCCTTGGTTTAATAATCCAATATCATGGTTTGTCCATTTTAATACCCCAACAGCATCCAACAGCTACATCACCTGACCTTGGGAATCCTGACGGCAGGTGGACCAAGAAGAATCAGCAGGAGAAACCCGGGACTGGGATAGCCCTTAAAATGGCCGTGAGAAGGTCAACCATAAGATTTTGGGTTACCTCATTCGTATCTTGTTTATCTATGTTCATGTATTCTATGATATTGGTATGTTTACAAAGTGTTCTTGTTCTCCCATTCTGCCTGAAAGCCGAATTTTGTGACAGCTGAGTTTGGTCCCAGTTGTGGTCCTTGTTCATTGAATTGTTCTCATCCCTTTCAAAAAGTTGCGGCCATTTTTTTTCGGTCTGAAACTGCTACAGAACTGAGAGAACAGGAGAGAACCATTGTTCTTTACATCATTCTTGGCATGTTCCTACAATCATCTTACAATCCAGTTGCATGAGGTTGGTCCCTTCCATATTTGGTGATGGCAGATCCACACGTCACATTGGCCTGGTGGGCAATGACCCTTCAGTACTTGGATGTGCACTTAAGCTAGCGGTTTCCAACTAGTACTGTATCCAACACTATATTGCCCAGGTATACATATAGCCACCCCCCAAAAAGATAGATGAGTAAAATATCGTAAAATCATAATTCATAATCGTCCTCACATAGTGAGGAATTACCAAACCCGATCAATTTTGGAGGCCTACTATGACAGGTCCATGTGATTCCCCAACAGTGACATCAGCCGAGAGCGGCTCTCGCAAGAGATCCAGGCCGGACTCTGCGGTGGCTCCTACTACAAGCGGGAGGCCATTCTGGATGCGCTTTCGGATGAGCGCATGGCCCAACTCGATTGGACGCTGGGAGATGGCCCTGGAGATGGCGTCACGGAAGTTCCAAATGTGGCGATTGTGGCACTCTATCTTATCATTCATGGATTCATAAATAATAAAAAAAGTAATATTATAGTTTTGAAATGTCATGCCATGTGTCGTGCCATGTGTGCCACGTTCAAAACCCATGTGTTCATGTTTAAGAAGGGGCCCCTCGTATATAAGAATATATAAGGGTGTGGCGTAAGCAAAACTCTGGTGAGCATAGGCCAGCAGTCCGCGTAAGGCAAAATATGATACATATGCGCGTAAGCAAGATCTGCGCGCGCGTAGGCAAACGTAAGCAGCGGCGTAAGCATTTCCTTTTTTGGTGCCAGGATATAAGACATTATTATATAGAACATGGCCCGAGTGTTATGTCATGTGTCATAGACCATATTAAATGCCGTAGGGATGAGATGAAACTCATCTTACAATTGCGATCGTCCATGTCATGTCAACCACTGGCAGGTCCCCGAAGAATCGGTGAAATTTGAAAGGGTACCGGAAACTCCTACATGTTACATCCTGTCTTTGGCTTGAATACCAACCGGTTGGGAAAATCCAGGAAAATCCAGGTTCAGCTGGTCCAAGCTGCCATGGATGCCATGGATCCCAGGAATTTCCTGGGCGAACGCTTCACCAAAGAGATCTACTCCTCGGATTTCGCCTTGCAATACGCCTTAGCGGCTCGGGGATGGACCATCATGCCCTGGAAAGAAGCTGCCCAAATGCATGACAACAAGGAGCTGCTTGGGTAGCTGATAATGACCGAAAGCTACGGTTCGCCTGGAATCATGCTTAGGATGCAGGGAATCATCCTCGGTAATTCAGCTTTGTGACTCATTCTACAGTAATTACCCAGATATTATGTATTGCACACTGTATATGTATATGATATGTATGGTAAACGTTGTATAATTACCCCCAGGCCAGCGGTGCCGAGGTTTATCATGTCACCAACTTTTTAGAGTTTGTTTAGGGTTTATCTAGGGTTTTACCATGGTTTTAATTAGATTTTGCTTTCAAGTCTTACTTCGGGTTTCATGTCAGTTTTAGGGTTGTGTGTTTTTGAAACAAATCTCGTCAGCCATTCGGCCATTCCGGCGACATCCTAAAATGCATAAAACACTGGCCCTGCGGCCCTGCGCTGTCAAAGCGCACTTTCCCTGGCAGCACCCCCATCCTGGCGGGGTATAGTTATATGTGTATAATACATAGTGTACAGTACATAGGTTTATTTATGCATATGTGTGGGCAATATCCATTTACCCAAAAAGTATCTATATCTACTCACCAATTGCTTTTGTTATGTATGTAATATACTGGTTGGTGCTTTGGAACATGTTTTATTTTCCATAATATATGGGATAATCCTTCCCATTGACTTTCATATTGTTCAAGACGGTTAAAACCACCAACCAGTATATATGTATCTGTGTATTCCATGCTAAGACGCCTCCGCCCTTCTCAGCTTCTGGTTTTGTTAAACACCACCTTCCAGGAGATTCCATTGGCCGGCCCCAAAGATGCAGCATTCAGACACTACTCTGGGCCAGTGGGAAAGCCAACCTATGAAATGAAGCTCAGGCAGGGCCGGGGCTGAGAGTGAGAATGGTCAACATATGTCGAAATTGCCCTGGAAAAGATGAAACTCTGTGAGGTCTGAATTCGTTTCGGGGGTTCAGAGTTTATTTGGATTGATTGGCTCTTTGCTCTTCAGTGGCAGCTGCAGTTGCAGTAAAAGCCCCCAAAGCTCCTGGACCCTGCGATAGGTGCCGTTGGTCGAATAAGATAAACTGAAGGGAAAAATTGTATTATGATGACCTTTCTGCCTCATTTGTGGTAAGCTACTGTTCTGGCTACTTTGCAAGATAGATGGTGATCCTACACATATCATCCCAACGGGCAGGAAACTTCCAGGGCTGTGCGGAGCCCGCAGGAAAGAGGATGTTCGCTTGGTCAAAGATCAACCGGCCGGGAGGCTCAGAACATTGTTTAGGAATCTTTAGAATACATCTATAAAATGATTTCTGCGGTAAATGCATTGATGTCTATCCTAAATGGTTTTTAGATACAATAGAGGATATATCATGATATATCATGATATATCTACCCTAGAGTCCTAGAGGATTACAATTAGATTAATATCTATATCCCCAACAAGAGGTTTTTTATTGGGATGTAAAATGACCGCCAATGGCCACTGATTCGATCTGATTTGCACACGTTGATTTGTCAAAAGGCCTGGGACATTTGGATAGAAACTAGTACCCCACGCCAATATATATATACACACAAATATCTATCTATCTATTTGTGTGTATGCACATAAATAAATAAATGAATAAATACATAAATAAATAAATAAATATATATATATAAATACATACGTGAACTCATGACTCATGACTTCATATGTTCATGGTTCATGGGTCACCAACATTTTCGTATGAGACTGGCTGTTGGGATGGCCAAGGCGAAATTCCGGGGAAAAGATTCCAATTGCCAGCGACTTGGATCGAACAAGCGGCCGTGGTGCGGTCGTAGCATGGCCAATTTTCACTTGTGTCACGGGGCCGGTTCCTGGGAAAGTGTATTATATTACATTTACTATATGTATATATATATATACATATATATATATATATACATATATATATATACATATATATATAGGGCTTTCCGGCTGTGGATTTTCCCTTGAACCAACTGGGTTTGTCTGACAATAGGCGCCCCAAATGGATCCAATCCAACAGTTGATCGCCATTTCCCCACTATTCCAGGCTTTTGGGTGAAGGTGTTCCTCTAACTGCTGGGCTTATCACCTTTCTACGCAGTCCCACAGCGTTTCCGTAGGGTGTTTTTGCTGCTGACAGCTTTGCGGCGTGATTTTTCCAAAACAAAATCGCACCT